CTGTTCTAAACTGCCTTGGCTGAGAAGGTAGTCAGTTGGTCGGTCGGTCAGTCAGTCAGTCTATCTACCTATCATCTATCTGTCTGTCTGTCTGTCTGTCTATCTACCTACCTACCTACCTACCTACCTATCTATCTATCATAATCCCTCCCCCTTATAACCAGATGGGACCATATGACTAGTTCTCACCAATGGAATTTATTTACAAAAAGGAAAACATGAATACACCTCCATCACCAGATACCTTTTTGCTCCCTTTTTCTATACACAGATCTCAGGTCCTCCCAGCACACCACACACTCTAGGAGAGAAAATTTGAGAGCTAGTTCAGTCAGGGCATCCAGGCTCTCTGACCATGGCCTGGCCTTCTTCATGAGGCTCACATGTTACTTCTTCAGTTGCAATCTATGGACTGAAACAGCAATGACTGCACCAACACACGACGGTGGGGCAGGAGCAGGAGGCTCTTCTGCGCTAACACCCTCCTTGGCCAAGTGGCCCTGAGGGGCTGCACAGTCATCACAACCCACCAACTGACCCTGCCAGAGCAAGTTCTGGGTTCTTTTTAAAAATTGTATCTAAATTTTATTTCATTTATTTATTTATTTAGAGACGGAGTCTCATTATGTCACCCTTGGTACAGTGCTGTGGCATCACAGCTCACAGCAACTTCCAACTCTTGGGCTTAAGCGATTCTTTTGCCTCAGCCTCCCAAGTAGCTGGGACTACAGGCGCCTGCCACAATATCTGGCTATTTTTTGTTGCAGTTGTCACTATTGTTTAGCTGGCCTCTGGGTTCGAACCTGCCAGCCTCAGTGCATGTGGCCAGCGCAGTAACCACTGTGCTATTGGGGGAGGGGGTTAAAAGACCATTGTGTCTTTTTAAAATAAAAATACACATGGTAGTGTGTAAATAAAAAGACACAGTGGGCTCGGCGCCTGTGGCTCAAGTGGCTAAGGCACCAGCCACATACACCCAAGGTGGTGGGTTCGAATCCAGCCCAGGCCCACCAAACAACAATGAAGGCTGCAACCAAAAAATAGCTGGGCGTTGTGGCAGGCACCTGTGGTCCCAGCTACTTGGGAGGCAGAGGCAGGAGACTTGCTTGAGCCCAGGAGTTGGAGGTTGCTGTAAGCTGAGATGCCACGGCACTCTACCCAGGGAGACAGCTTGAGGCTCCTGTCTCAAAAAAAAAAAAAAAAAAAAAAAACACAGTGGTAGTCCTTATAAATTAAAGCTATTATAAATTAAATTCTATTTTTTAATTTCAGAATATTATAGGGGTATACATGTTTTGATTCCATAATTCGCTTTTGTACATTTTAAGTCAAAGTTAGAAGTGTGCTCTTCTTTTTAGAGTAGTTTTATAGATCAAATAGTTAAGAGCTTGTTTAGTCCAAGCTCCTGGTTTCTTTGCCAATATAATTCCCTCAGAAACTCAGGCGGCCTTTGATCTATTTGTTTCCAGTGAGTTCCATGTGCCAGTAACCACACACAAAGTTCTTTCCTAGACATAATTCCCAAGGCTAATATGTTTCTTTGCCTCTATGCTTCTTGATTTCAATTAATAGAAGCCACCTGGAGGCCACATGAAACAACAAAGTCAGTGGCTCCCAATTCTCATAGTACAACAGAATCACTTGGAGAACTTTTTTAAAAACCAGGTTTCATGTATCTCAGACCTAGAAATGAGAAGCTCTATAGGTGGGACCATGGTGATTCTGACAAGCAGCCGAGATTAAAAGCCCACACCCTCAGTCTGAACTTCGCCGTGGAACTGAAAGTTCAGTAGGCCTGTGTTGCTTAAAGCCTTTCTCAGTTCTTTGTTTTTCCGTTTTCTGCCCTAAGCGTCAGAACTTTCTCTGTTCCCTTTCATACACAGCTGGCAAACTAGCCAATTTGTTCTAAGCTCATCTCTTTCTTATATCCCCTTCCCATCAGCAGTGTCACAGTGTGATTCTTTCCAGTGCTTGGCCTCGGTGGGTTGTGCCTCCCAAGTCATCACAGATGACAAATTCGCCAAATTGGTTACCACTACACAACATGGGTTTCTGTCTTTCCTTCTCTAATATCATTTCCTTGATAGTGTGCCCTGACTGCTAAGCCGGTGCCACGAATGTCAAGGTTTTAATAGAGCTCTACTTCTAGAATTAAAACTTCCATGACTTAATACAAAGTTTTCACTATGCCCCGCTCACGCAGGTTGGCAAATATTCTTCTCCATTCGAGGACTCACTTTCCTTTCATTGTATGGTTTTACCCTTCGCTGTGCCCTAACGGCATTCTCTCCTCTAAGGGAGCAGAGAGGTGGGGAAGGCTCCTTCCTGTTAACGGCCTTGTTCTGAGTAGACATCTATCATTCTGTTCACATTCCACTGGCAAGAACCACTCACATGGTCCCGCTTAGCTACCTGCAGGCTGAAAAATGTAGTCTAGGTGTGTGCCCAGAACAGGAAAACAGTGAAACTGACAAGTCCCGGCAGCCTCTCTCGGCTCCACAAGAACAAGAATCTTCATCTGCTTTGTTCATAGATGTATTTCCAAGTGCCTCTACAGGACCCGGAACATAGTTGGTGCCAAAAAAGTATCTTTTGAATGAACAAATGAATGGACAGGATGAATCACAGACATGGTACCCTATGGCACTATTTTTTATAATAAAAGCAAACTAAATGGACAAATAACTAAAAAGATAATGAATTATACTGTATACGTTGATAAAATTTCAGAAACTTTTGGATAAATTAAAATAAACATCCAGGTACTAAACACTCACATATCAAGTACAAATTCACGTACAAACTGGTTAAATACACACTAAATTCATCTGTTGTGACCATACAGAAACATTCATTCAAAATATTAGTACAAACATGTGAATAATTGTCAAAGAAATTACTATTAAACTAGTTACCCAATCTTTTTTAGCTGGAAATCTGTTTACCCTGTCTCAAAATTCCCCTACATCTTCCTTAAAGAACAAGGACACTGCACATACAGAATCTTAATTTTGAAAATAAGTTACATGTCACATGTAACCTACTATTGAAAGGTCTTACCTGTATGTATCTACACCCCTCAAAATTTGGAACGCCTACATTTGATACATGATGATAATTTTTTTTTTAAATCTTAGGTCACTACAACACAAATAAGGGAATAAAAGACAAAGCTGAAGGCTCGACGCCTATAGCTCAACTGGCTAAGGCGCCAGCCACGTACACCTAAGGTGGCGGGTTCAAATCCCCAGCCTGGACCCGCCAAACAACAATGACAGCTGCAACCAAAAAATAGCCAGGCGTTGTGGCGGGCGCCTGTGGTCCCAGCTACTTGGGAGGCTGAAGCAGGAGACTCGCTTGAGCCCAGGAGTTGGAGGTTGCTGTGAGCTGTAATGCCACGGCACTCTGCCCAGGGGGACAGCTTGAGGCTCTGTAAAAAAAAAAAAAAAAAAAAAAGACAAAGTGGAAATAAAAATGACAACAAATGGGATCAGACCTACCTCACAGGAATGTATGAATTCATTTGTGACTTATGTATGAATGTTATGACATACTTTTCTGCATGTATGTTATAATAATGAAAAAAATTCAACAGTGTATATGAAAAAGTGCTTCGTAACAGTATTTAGTCATTTATCTTTCAATAAAAATAAAATCCCCATTTTTAAAGGGTTATAAATTAGACAAACGAGTAAGTCCAAATTAGGGGGAAGAAGGTGTTCCTTATTCTCCTAATATCAAATCTAAAATGAAAATTTTCGGTAGAAACATACCAGTGAGTCTAATCCTCATAAACAGTAAAGGGGCAAAACCTATCCCGGTGTAAGAGACAGACTCCAAACAAATAACAATGGAGGAAACACTAACAAATCAATTAACACAGCAGGGTACCTGCACTTTAAGAAGGGAAAAATAACGATCTGAAAATCAGTAAACTCTCTTTATTCAATGAAAAAGAGAAGAAGTTATTGGGTTTTATTTTTTAAGATTTAAAAAATATGTATGTGTGTATTCTAATATACATATTAGAATTTACAATATAGGATAGGATATTCAGTTTAACAAAATTTCATATTATAATTGAAACCTATCTAATAAAAAATATATAGCTTTAATAGGTTATCAGAGATGTAAGAAATAAATGTACACATGGGTTGAAGTTTGTTTTGTGATTTTTGAATAAATTCCTGATATGAACTTATTTGACTTTTCTTGGTTGAGTTTTAAGAAAACTAAAAGAGAAATAAAAACTGGTTATTAAAACTAATACTTGTGAAAACCAATAGGACAACCAGATCTAACAATTTAGATTCCAAATTATACTTTTGACCCTAGATATCTTTCTGCCCTTTAGCAAACCAACCAACCAACCAACCAACAAAAACTAGAGGGAAGGTTTTAAAACACAGGCTAAAGCAACTTTTTGGAAAGAAAATTATGGCATTTAAAAAATCCTGGCAATAAATTGAGAGAAGGGAAGAAAAATAATTGATGATGAGCATACTGCACGATTTACAAATACCAAAGAAGGCAAACACACCAAACAGGGGAAGAATACAATATTTTCTCCAACTAGAGAAGGCAAAAATTTAACTTTTTTTCATGTCATTTTCTTCACAACACTTAAACCTTATAAATATGAGGAAATTTTTCTTGCAAAAGAACTTTAAATCTTACTTAAAGTTCAAAAGAGTAAGCGCATGGAGAAATACCCCTTGTACAATTTTAAAATAACAAGAAACTTAAAGCATTGCAATATTTCATTTTACAATATAAAAGGGACCATTTTGAATATTTTCATCTTCTAGAATTTTTTAACATTCTGCTCTTAAAATCAAGCTAGAAGCATATTTTTTGCAACCTCAGCATAAATGTAAGCCTTACGATTTTATTACACCACATCCTTATTTGGTAGGCATCCACCAGGAAACTGGCCTACAAGCTTTTACTGATGAAACAGATTAAGAGTCAGGGACACGGAGGAAACACAAAGCAGTTACCCAAGAGGAATGCTCCTTCATCTGGTGCTGGTTGCTGTGAGAGCCACTGGCATGGCCACGCCAAAAGCAATTCTGGCAGAGCTGATAGTTGTGGCACTGCTGGCATCGGTACCGGAAACCCATCATACTCTCACACCGGCAATAGGAGCACTCCACAGGATGGAAGACTTGTGGACCGAGACAAAGGAGGAAAAAAGGAGAGAGGAGGAGGGATGGACAAGGAAAAAAAGAGAATTTTCATTTGGATAATAAAGTCAATACAAAAGAAAACTAAATATAAATGGAAAAGGTGGCAACCAAATTAGAACTGAAAAATGTAAATTATTCATCTAACTAGCCGTCTACTATAGTGAATAAAAAAAAGGAAAAGACTTAATCAGAAAAAAAATTTCTGGTACATAATTGCTTCCTCTGGCAATTCTATTCTGAACACAAAAAATGGCATTCAATAGAAAAGATATACTCTTCAAATCTTCAGTGAACAATTCTTTCTAGTATGATGTATAATATATAATATTCATCTCATTTCAAGCATAATGATTTTTAGTCCTGCTCCCCAAAATGTATATTAACTGGGGAACCAATACTCAAAAACAAATTGAGCATTAGGTAAGAAAAATAATATGACAAGATCATGAAGGACTAGAAGTAAAATCAGGAAGAGAAAATCCAAAGTACATTACTTACCCTAAAAAATTCAAGCTATTTGTGCTCCGGATTAAAACAATACACTATAGTATAGTCCTCTACAGAAGAGGACTGCCAAGTCAACTAGAGCAGTGTTTTTCAACCTTTTTTATCTCATGGCACACTTGAACCTATAGTTAAACTTCTGTGGCACACTGAAACTATGTGCTTAAAAAAAAAAAAGAGTAAAAAAGAATATACTTACTATGCTTTGAACTTCTTTCAAAAATAATTTAATCAATGGCTTTTAAAAGTTTTCAGGGCACACCTAAGATGCTTTCGGGGCACATCAGTGGGATGCACCACACACCAACTGAAAATCACTGATCTAGAGCTAACATCAATGCTGTCAACATCACTGCAGCCAAAATTTACAATTCTAAGTAATCTGGGTTAATATTAAATGACATATATAAATCTAAATATTAAATTATCAAATACAGTATAATTTTGGTTGAGTGTGAATATCAATGTGATTTTCTTTTATTCTCCTTTGAACAAGTCAGGAGCTCCTTTGAGCAAGTCAGTGGGTGTGTGACCAAGAGGAAAAGCTGAGACCCAGAATGAAGAAAGGATCAACCTTTCTTCATTATAATAGGTCATTATATATAATAAACTTTCTTCATTATAATCAGAAAGATAAAAACAGTTCAGGTGCTAGTAAAAGTATGATTTTAACAGCGTGCGTCAGGTAGTAGTTACCTTCTTGTACTCCAAAGACTTGGGTTAGGAAACCAACATAAAAAGTACAACTTTGGCTTATGCTGATAAACATTATTCCTCATGAACAGTAATTTCAAAATAATTCAAATTATGAATTTCATGGGAATTAAAGAGACAAAATAACAAAAAAACCCTTAGAAATACCAAAATTTTATAATTTCTCACCATTAAAATTAACACATACAAATGTTAGTATGATAGGCAGCATATTTTATTTCTAGATATTTCAATGATTTCATAACATTTATCTATCTCTAAGAAAAATGGTATCACTAAACACGTAAGAATGTAATCAATAAATAATACACTATATATAAAATCACAATAAAACAGATAACAATACATCTTGACAAATGAGGCTCTTTCTTCTTGGTATTGCAGATACAAAAGGATTTTATAAAAGTCAATTGGATGCAAAACTACTAAATGCCTAAGGGTATAAAAGCACTGCTCCCTCAAATGTAAATCTCTGATTTTAAAATCCTGTTTTTAAAATGTAGCTATTTTAGTCTAGTCAAGAGATTGTAGTCCTTCAAGAAAACTAATCCTGAATCGGAGGGATCTGTGAACTAAAGCTATAGTTAGGTAACAGACTCAGAATTTAAAAAAAAAAAATCATGGATAAGACAGGAAGAAATAAAAATGGTATGGAAGTATCTTCCGTTCTTAGTGGAAGAAAAAAGAGGACTCTGCATTTTTGTGGCTTCTCAGCTATTCCTTGTTCTCTTTTGTGGAATGAGGAAAGATAGGCAAGAGCCTGGAGAGAAGGGAGGCTGCCAGAAAAACCCTGGCCTTCTCTTAAATAAAGTCAAACAACCCAAACAAGGAGATAAACTGATGGCAGTAACAGAAAAACTGAAGAAGTTACTGAGAGATAAGTACCACTTCAAGTCAAAGCAAAACAGATTTCAGTCAATGTACCAGGAGGGACACCAAAAGTAGGTTCACGGTAAAACAGGAATACAGTACTGAATTTTATCATAGCTATTTTTACTTAAATTTTTATTTTATAAAATAATTATATTTTCAGCAGTTGATATTGCACATATCCAATTTTTTAGAGCTATGACTTTGATACATGTAAGGGGAGAAAAAGGAAGTCCTGGCTAAATGGGGAGGGGGAGCCCTCAGGCAGAACACACCATCTGCCATCTGAGGAAGGAGAAGACTACAGTTTAGGCCACAAAGTATTATGACCCGATATTACTATTTCTTTTTATCCTAATGTCTCCCCCCTTTTTTTCAAGAATTAAATATTCCTCTTTTGAAAGCTAAAACCACAAATTCAATGAATGACAGCAAAATGTCAAGGATAATTTTCTTTTCTTTTCTTTTCTTTTTTTTTGAGACAGAGCCTCAAGCTATCCCCCTGGATAGGGTGCTGTGGCATCACAGCTCACAGAACCTCCAACTTCTGGGCTCAAGCGAATCTCCTGCCTCTGCCTCCCAAGTAGCTGGGACCACAGCTGCCACAACGCCCGGCTATTTTTTGGTTGCAGCCGTCACTGTTGTTTGGTGGGTTTGGGCTGGACTCGAACCCACCACCTTAGGTGTATGTGGCTGGCGCCTTAGCCACTTGAGCCACAGGCCACGGATAATTTTCAATGACAGTATAATTTTCAAGGACACTGAAAATAATTAGTTCCTGTACTTCCTAATCCTGAATCTGAGGGATCTGGGAACTAAAGCTATAGTTAAGTAACAGACTAACTAATTCAAATAATTAGTTCCTGTACTTCCTATCATGAGGAATTGAATGATAAAAAGTTCTGCTTACCATTTAGATCTGTGAACTAAAGCTATAGTTAGGTAACAGACTATATAATTCAGCAATCAGTTCCTGTACTTCCTATCATGAGGAATTCAATGATAAAAGTTCTGCTCACCATTTAGATCTGTGAGAGCTAAAGCTGTAGTTAGGTAACAGACTAAATAATTCAATAATTAGTTCCTGTACTTCCTATCATGAGAAATTGAATGATAAAAAGTTCTGCTCACCATTCTCAACATGAGCAAGCCTGTGCATGAGAGGTAGCCAGACAAGGCACTGGGGAGGAGGGTCGGCCATCATTGTATCTAAAAACATATTGAGCATTATCTTTTTCTGTGAAGAGAAGAAAAACAAAGATACTTTATATTTTTCAATCATCTAAGTTAATCTAGCAATTTCCATCCAAACTCTAATGAATTACATGTGAAATAAAAGTAACATTAATATTTTACATTACTATATACCTACTATACCCTATACTATATAATACTGCTATTAGTATACATTCCCGCATTATTTTGTTTTAGTCTTAAAACAACTGTGTAAGGTAAACATGTTAGACATTACTAATCTTCATTTCATAGATGAAAAAGTAAGGGAGCAAAGCATTTAAATTGTAAAGGTTTTATAATGGCCCTACTTGAAGGAGACACAGAGCCAGGACTATCCTTCAAATTACTATTTCTGCTGTCCAGTGGGAGAGACGGACACCCACGCCTCATTATCAAGCAACATGAGTGAAAGCAGAACTATGGCTGTGTGGCTGACTGCTGCATTTCCACACTCATAACACAACAGGTACCTGATAACGCATTGTTGAACATATAAATAATAAAACAAGGAGTGAAGTACTCTCAGACATCATTTAACAATTTTCTCATTTACGAAAGCAAGAACAGAGACTTGGGGTAATTGAGTAATTTGACAAAGTCACAGAGATAATTATGATGAGATTAGAACCTGAATGCCCAAAAGCCTATCAGAGTACTCCCTCCACCATACCATCTCCCTAGACAGACTAAATTTTTTTGATTTTTTATTTCTTTTTAATAAATATATACTCAACTCCCACTGGATGGGAAACACTGAAATAATGAGGTTCCACGTGGACACAGAAAATTAGCAAACAGTCTAGAAAGAGAAGATAGAAACAGAGTTAGATGATGTAGGTAGAACAAACCCTTCGCAATATTTCAGATTAACAAATTTTCGTTTTATTTTCTCCAACCCACAACAAAAACATAGCTTTATAGCTCCAAAGGGAAAAGAAAAAGAAGCTAAAAATGCAGTGTCATCCTGCTCCACAGGAGAGTTCTGTGACTATGACCTGGACACAAAGGGCCCCACTTCAAACTCTATTCCAAAAGAAGAGCGGTGACAAAAGGGCAAACCCACAGCAGACGCACGGCCATAAGGGGCCCTTTTCCATGCCTCGGTCCCACCATTCAAAGGCAGGGTGGGAGCTGAGGATTGGGGATGGCGTGAAGCCAAAAGGACCCCAGAATGTCATCTCACTCTATCCCAAGTAACTGTTCTCAAGCCCCACCATTTTTCTTAAAGCAAAAAATAGGCTGTAAAAAGTATGGGTGTTTCTCCACAAAACTTTAAAATATTTTATTTTAGGAAAGAAAAAAAGTAGAAAAGATAAAATTAATTACAGCTGACCTAAAGATATTGCCAGCTGGGTGGCACCTGTGGCCAAAAGGAGTAGGGCGCCGGCCCCATATGCCAGAGGTAGCGGGTTCAAACTCAGCCCCAGCCAAAAAAAAAAAAGATATTGCCAGCTGATTACAAAGTAACTTTGATTTTTGCCACTAATATATTTAACATATATAACATAAACATTATGTTTATATATAACATAAACTAGAAGCATGGAGTGACAGCATTCTGATGTTTGGTCAGGAGAGAGGCCTCCAGGCCAGCCACCTCACCTACCATGATGCCTTCCAAAAAGGTCTCATCACACGAGACTCAAGACTACACAGACTTGTTCCTGCATATCATTTTGGAAACGTGATTCCAGTATAGGTAAATCAGAAGTCATTCTGATTGAGAATGATCAATAGGAAACTGGTAAGTAGGAAACAGAAAAGGGAATATAGCAGGAGGTGGATCAGGAAAGATGCTTTGCAATAAAAATCTGGAAAAGAGGAAGAAAGCTGAGGGAGAGTCCTGAGATAGACAGGAGAGGGCTGGCTGAGGATGACAGAGGATGACAGTATCATCGCTGTGCACTGATACTGAAGTGTGAAAAATGGCCGTTCAAATAGGCTAAAGAAAAGTTATCCAAAGTATCCAAAGTGTTTTCCATCTCAAGCACTCACGTTAGGACTGTTTCTGAGACCACAAAGTAATCTGGGAGGCGTAAGTTAGTAACATTAAAAACCAGAAAGCTGCCTAACGTTTGTGTAGAGGACCAGACATGGAAAGTGCCTTACAGTCAATAAAATCAGAAGTGTCTGTTCAAAGTTATTGAAACAGAAGATGCTAGGAAATTGTTTAGCAAATAAGAGGTGACAAAAATTAAATATCATACCCTTTATTGTAAGTGTAATGTTTAAATTAATATTGCTGTATCTCCTTATATTTGTTAAAAATTACATTTTTACAATCCATTTATAACCCTAATATTACTTACACTAAAAAGTTATTTGCCTATCATGGAGAGTATTTTTTTTAAATCAAGATGAAGAGGTACAATTTTATTTTATTTTGATATCTCAGAAGTCCCTCATGGATACACTCAAGATCAACCAAGGCTGGGCTGTGTGCAGTGGTTCATTCCTGTAATACTAGCACTCTGGGAGGCCAAGGCAGGTGGACTGCTTGGGCTCAGGAGCTCAAGACCAGTCTGAGCAAGAGCTGAGACCCCTATCTCTAAAAATAGCCCAGCCATTGTGGCAGGCACTTGTAGACCCAGCTACTTGGGAGCCTGAGGCAAGAGACTCACTTGAGGCTTGACACCTGTAGCTCAGTGGTTAGGACGCTGGCCACATACATGGGGATGATGGGTTCAAACCTGGCCCAGGCTTGCCAAACAACACCAGCAACAACAAAAAAAATAGCCGGGCATTGTGGCAGGTACCTATAGTCCCAGCTACTTGGGGGCTGAGGCAAGAGAATTGCTTAAGCCCAAGAGTTTGAGGTTGCTGCGAGCTACAACACAGTGGCACTCTATCCAGGGGCAACAGAGTGAGACTGTCTCAAAAAACAAAAAGATGAAAATCAACCAAGGCTGTTCTGCTTTCATACTACTAATATAATTTGAAGTCTCCAAAAGCATTAGGAATTAAACTAGAAGAACTATGTTCTGGCACCCTTTCTTCTCTACCAAGCATGGATGGGGTTTGGGGAAAATCACTTAACATTTCTGGGTTTCAATTTTCTCATCTCTCAAAGTGTGATAAAGGGGAACCCTTGGAAGGTCTTTAAACCTTTCAGAACAATTCATGAGGCTAAAACTATTTTCACGATAATATCAAGACCTGGTTTTTCAATCTCATTCTCTCAGGAGTCCAGCAGAGTTTTCAAGAGGCAATGTGATGTACCGACAATTACTGAAAAGGCTATTAGAAGACTCCTCCCTTTCCAACTAACTTAGCTGCTGGAGGCCAAATTTTCTTCCCGCAGTTTAAGCAAAATAACCTATCAGAGCAGACTGAATGGATAAGCAGATATGGGGATCCACATGTCTTCTATTGAGCCAAATATTTGCAGAAATATAAAACAATCCTACTCTTCTCATTACATTTTTGTTCTGGGATATTTGGTTACTCATCATAAAAATGTTATGTTTACATGTAATAGGTTTACCCCTGCTATTTATAAGTGACTTCATATTTTTCGATTTCTCAATCTTAATTTCTACTATCGAAAAACTGACAGACATAAGTTCTTTGTAGCTTTCAATAATTTTTAGAGTATAAAGAGGTGCCAGGACCAAAAATTTTGAGAACTGTTGGGGGAGACACCCCAATTCTAAAATTCCATCACTCAATAAATGTGTGAAAGGTAGTTTGGCTCTTTTTTCTCCCCTCTTTGTTTTGTTTTTACTTTTGAGTTGAACATTTTCTTTGCATTTCTCCTTATTTTTTATAACACGGTATTAATAAAAACTATAAAGGGTGGCACCTGTAGCTCAGCAGCTAGGGTGCCAGCCACGTACACCAAGGCTGGCTTTGAACCCAGCCCAAGCCAGCTAAAACAACTATGGCAACTACAACCAAAAAATAGCTGGGCATGGTGGTAGGTGCCTGTAGTGCCAGCTATTTGGGAGGCTGAAGCAAGAGAATCGTTTCAGCCCAAGGATCGGAGGTTGCTGTGAGCT